GGAAGTGTTATTTGCGGTCAAGATTGCCCTCCAATACAGAAGTGATTCTCGTAGACTTAAAATTTGAATGAAATATTGGATGATTTCCCGCCACATTCGTGCATGAGATGTTAATAAGAATGACATTTTGAGACTACAGTGAAGGTTGCCCCCCAACCTGAAAGAAATTGTGAAATACTTTGTATCTGAATAAGATGTGGGAAGACAACCCTACCACAATCGTGTCAAAGATGCTGACATGAACGACCTTTCGAGACTGCAATGAAGGTTGCCCCCTAAATTGAAAAATGCATCGAATATGATCTTCATGATGTGAAAGATGTTCCTTCGTCAGTTGGATGAAGTACTTCATTGGGAAATGAAGTAGATGCTCAAAGTCTTTAGAGTCAAAGACAATGATGAACATGACTTCGCTTCCCACAGACAGTGTCAAGCTAATGTGTGCCAGAAAATTCACTGTAGCTGAGCAATCCATTATCGTCTTAGCGTGACACAAGAATTCGACACACACATATAACATAAGGGAAGTATGCAGGAGGAAACAAATTGATTTTTTACGTAAAAAACCATTGAAAGGGGGAAAAACTACGGGGCTTAGCCCAATTGAAATAATTCACTATTAATGATGAGTATACATGTCCATTCTTTTCCTAAATTAATGTTCCTATTGCTACAAGGCGATGTCTTCATGTTTGAAAAATGTTGAGTCACCTATCAAAGACTGATGCAAATCTTTGACAACCTCATATAAAAACAATTAGTATTATATCAATGATTTGGTTATCAATACTAGAATTAGTAGTGAGTATGCAAATGATCTTGGGATCGTACTAGGAAGAATTCAAAAATCGTACATCAAAATAAATCTTCCAAAAATGTTTGCACATAGACCTAGTGGCGAGTATGAATGACGTCCGTAGGCTTTCGGGGCCAGAGTCTGAAGCCACACGAGCTATGAGCCACGTAGGTCGTAGGGGCAAATATGAATGATATCCGTAGGTCGCGAGGGTCGGAGTTGGGAGCTGCATAAGCTGATAACCACGTAGGTCGTTTGGGCGAGTATGAACGACATCTGTAGGTTGCGGGGGCCAGAGTCGGGAGCTGGACGAGCCATGAACCAGGTAGGTCGTAGAGGCGAGTGTGAATGACGTCCATAGGGCGTTGGGGCTAGAGTCAGGAGCTGCACGAGCCATGAACCATGTAGGTCGTTGTTGACACATGAACCATAGTGATGAGCTCATTTCCCACGATGATGACTGACGGTGTCTGGTTGGTGGTGATCGACGAGGATTAGTGGTGATCGACGATGATGGTCGACAGTGGATGACAATAATCGACGGGAGTCGACGACGGCCCGAGGTGGGCGGGGGGGAACTCCTTCTCAGAGCTTCCAATTCTCTCTGAAGCTTCAACTTTCTCCTCTCATGTGAGGGGTGTGGCTCTATTTATAGTGTTCTGGATGTCATTAGTGCATAAATATGAATCATTTTGATCAGACTGTCCAGAAAGCTTCAACCAATCAAAATACGTTTAATGGACATTTGAGTGCCTTAACAATGTCAGAATTGCGCAATCTTAGGCTCGTTGGATTCGTCTTGTCGAGATGCTCGATTCAACTATAAACTTACCATATTCGGAAACCGTTTGACTTTCCAAACGTGACTGAAAAACTTCCAAGGATTATTTAATGACTTGATTTGGGCTTGATTGAACTATGATTGGAATGACTTTGATATCATTAGATCCGTCTCATCGAGCCGATCAATTTGACGATATGTTTACGGAAATCAGAGCTTTGTTTAAGTTTTTATCAAGTCTTAAACATCCCTTACTTAAAATATTATCTCACGATACGTGTCGGATAATGAAGATTTGTTGGTGGCGTATCAAAGCCAAATCTATGACTCCAGTTGAAATGACAACTTTGAAGTTAAGTATGGAAATATTTTCATTGTTGATGAAAGATTTTGAATTATTGAAGTAAACAATACTCGCTCTCTAAATTGACATATTCCTTGAAAATTAAAATAAAAATCTACAAAGGGAATCATCAAACTCCAACTTTGTAATCAAATCAAAAAGAATTTGCTTATGAGAGCATACAACTTAATAAGAATGTTCGTTGTTTTCTCTAGTATGAGTAATACTATTATAGGTAAAATCGCATCAGACAACATGTAAGAAAAATGATTTGAAGAATGCAATTGTTCGTTTAAAGAGATTTACCCATTACATATATAAGTTGTTCTTTGTGCTACTAATTATTATTATAACTATTTTGTAAGCACAAAAATCACTATCATTAGGATTATGTAACTCTGTTTGTGCTCTAATTATTTTTGTGCACATACTTTTATATGTAATGAAATATTTTTTTTTGGTGATTTGACTATGAGAAATCACTTAAAATGCATCATTGTGCATTTGTTTCAAATCTCCACTTATTGCTACTCTTGGGATGATGTCAATGAGTTAATCATCATGACTTAGTCACCTAACTTTGAATCCAATCCATAATATTGACCAATGATTAGAAATTTCAATTAGCCTTTCTACCCTAAACATTCTTTTTTGGATATTATATTTCATTGTTATGATTGTTCTTAGTGCGGTTGCGACGACCGGTTGCAATCGAGAAAAGAACTCATTAGAAAATTGCAATAAGAATTATAAATATTGATTTTTTACAAAAAAATCAGTTAACAACTTTCTTAAAGCCATATTGCCTTCATAGGTCGGGTCGAAAAAACTAGTTTTTCATTACATAAATTTCTATGAAGCAATCAGAAAATAGTTCCCCAAACATAATTGTGGCAACGATTTAAAGCGCAAAACAGACATAAAGCCGTCCCAAATAGGCTCTTAATAAACGAAAGAATGACAACATGGATCAATCTTAGGCAGACAAATGGAGCACGATTACCATAAAATAAATCGGGGGTTTTTATTTATTAAATTTAGGATAGGAATATTGGTCAACAGAATTTTTCAAATTATGTTTTAGAAATGTAAGAATATAAACATTAGGTTTTAAATTTGTTTTTAGGGTAAAAACCAACAATTATAAGCCATTTTAAAAAGCACATGTGCTGATTTTCTTACGGTAAATAGACTCATACAATTTATTTATAAAGTAGCGGTCCATTTAAAATTTGAGCAATTTTATCTGTTGAACTCGGTATATCATTATTTTTTCAGCACACATTTCATTGTATAATTGATGATAATATCGTATTTTTTAATTTTTTCATCTCAATAATTTATGAAATAATTATTACGTTTAAAAATTTATATAAAATAAATAGGCTTATAAAACATGACATATAAATCAATATTTTATAAAAAATTATATATATATAATTTTTAAAGAGCAGCTCGTGGCTCTTTACGCGTTAATTAAAAGGAAATTACATAGTTGGGGAGGAAAAGTGAATCTCCATCTAAAAACAAAAAAAATACAACAAACCCCTAGGGGTTCCACTATCCGCAGTACAACAAAACGTAAAGAAACAAACCTAAGGTACATGTAATCATTTAAAACGTATACTAAAAGAAAAAGTATACACAAAAAATTACACGTACATAAAGTCCCAAAATAATAGTATGCATAAAAACCCATAGTAACTGTGGTGTCGAGGAGCAGGGTCAAACTGACGACTTGTATATCCAGTGAAAAACACAACAATAAAAGCCAATATTTGCAAGCAGTGAGGAAATCCACAAAACTTCTGCATAAACCATCCCTGCCGCTCCAAACAGTTCCCATATGTCCGAAATTGAAAGGCAACAGCTCCATACATCTCATGGTAAAGTTGTCAACTCCAATACTCATAAATGAGATCCCAGACATCCAAAAAGAGCAGACCAAGCAAGATAAAACATGAAAACCAACCTCACAGTCCAAATTCGAAGACAAAACGGGGTGAAAAACACAAAACAGGATGAAAAAAGCTATCAAAATGCAACTCAGAATAAAACATGAAGAAATTGAACAGCTAAACAGTAAAATAAACCAATAAAAACGAAGCAGAAATAACAGAGAAATATAAAATCCCTCTATTCTTAAGTATTTATTTATCTAAGATTTATATTTTTATATTTTTATATTTATAACAATTTGGGGGTATAAATTTATACATGAAAAGCATATATTTTATTTTTAAAAAATAAATAACAATTTTATCTTTGATGCCATATTAAATATTTCAATGATATGAATATAAATATGCAAATTTAGATGATAGAATTGAAAAAAATATAAGAATCGTATGACTTAATGTAAAAGTCCCTATTTCAAGTTATAATCTAATCATATATTTTTATTCAAGAGAGACAATAATATTTTCAAATTCATTATCTTTATCTCAAAATGGAAACAAAAAAAAAAAATTATTAATTTGGCCTCATCTTGAGTCAATTAAAACTAGGGCTGTCAAAATGGCTCTATGTTCGCAAACAGCTCGTGTTCGGCTCGTTTGCCAAGTTAATGAGCTGAATACGAACAACACGAACAAATATTTGTTCATTCATGTTCGGATCTTTTTGGCTCGAAATACTACTAATCAATTTTATATATATCTTTGACGAGTAGTATACTATAAAGCTACAAAGATTTATAATAAATTAAAAGTATTAATTAAGAAAATAGAATAAAAGTTATTAAAGTAGATTCAAATGATATTTTAAATATTGTCATAATACTTATCATCTTATGGTTACATGATTAGGGTTGTCAAAACGACTCTTTGTTCGTGAACAGCTCGTATTTGACTCGCTAAGCTGACTCGTTAAGCAAACGAGCTGAACACAAATAAACTTTTTGAGCTTGAAATATAAAGGAGCCGAACACTCGGCTCGTTTACACCCCTAATTAAAACATAAACAGATTACGAATAATTATTTGCATTTAATATTTAAAATAGTTATTATTATTTAATATTAAAATTATTTATTTAATAACTAAGTTCATTTACGACCTGCATATGTCATTCTCCAAATTTCTCTCAGCATTTTATGTCCCTCTCTTGTACAAGTTGCGTTCTCTTGTAGAGTTGTGGGGTTGCGGTTTAACCGTTTTGCCGGTTGTCGCCTCGATGCTCTTCAATAAATAGGGTTTTAGCCGCCGCAATGGCGGGCGGCGGAGTGTGGAGAGGCTGCATTCGGGCTAGGTGAAGTCGTTCTTTTCCGAATGGGTGAGTTCTGTTCCCGGTTCCCTTGCGTCAGCGCTCTCTTTAATGGCTTATTGCTTTCTCATTTTCTTGGTTTTCTATGTCTCTTTGACTCCTCTAGATCTGTTGGAATGTTAGCGAGCCGATCCGCTTTGGTTACGTTTTGCTTCGTTGTTTTTTAGGTTTTCTTTTTTATTTTAGTTGACTTCTTGGTTTAAAACCATGGTCTGCTTCGAACTTTCTTGAAACTGTAGTTTATTTTTATAGCCAGACTTTTGATTCTTGGAACGCCGGCGAATTGGTAATTATGTCATTTATCTCCAAGTTTTTCTGCAAATCTTCATGCCAAATACGGACTTACTAGATTTACTAATTCTCACTTGAGTTAAATCTTACTTCTAGCCAAACAACTCCTCAGTATCTGGGGAAGCTCTTACGACGCCTGTATCTTTTTTACTAATTTCTCTATGGTAGGAAGGCAATTAGAGTATGTGTTAATACATCTTCTTTGTTTCTCACCCTGGAAGGCAATTAGAGTTGGTGTTAATACATCTTTCTATTCTGTGACAATATGGATTAATTCACCTTCTTGTTCCTTGCCAATCTTGTGATTATATTATACATGCGTGTATTACTCATGGTTTCAGAGATAAGGCGCTCTCCTATCAAACGGTAACATTCAAAAATTTTAAAAAGGTTATTTTAAGGAAATCATAAGTTTTTATAACCATTTTTTGCACCATAACGAAATGATTGAAATGATTTTAATTTAATTTTAAGTTTTGCTGGAATCATTTTGCATTATAATCTCAATGCAATCTCTTGGAGCTCTACGAAACCATACTTGGTGGTTTAGTCTTTTTTGAAAGCCAAATAATGAGTGATTGCCTTTCAATCTGCTGAACTTGCGGATGCATCTTGCCGAACTAAACCTCTCTCTTAACAATTTCTTGAAAAACTTTAGAGTCAATATCATTGTCCTCTCTCCACTTACTTCATTTTGAGAAGGCATATTAGAGAAAATTTTTAGCACATTTGTATATTTTCTTATTACTCTCTATAGTAGGAAGACAATTACATTAGTTGCTAATACACTTTCCTTATTCCTCACTCTATACTAGGAAGACAATAACAATAGGTGTTAATATAGCTTCATATTCTTTACCAATAAATGTTAAATCACATTCGTTATTTCTTCTTAATCTATGCTAGGAACATAATTAGAATAGGTGCTAATACATTTTATTCTTTGTCAATTTTGTGATTACACAAGGAAGATTTATTATTCTCTACACATTATTAAATTTCTACACTATGTAGGGTGATATAGGTTTTTAATTCCATTATTTGCCCGAAAAATGAACATTTTACAAATCCTCAAGTCCTGCTTTTTAATTTCTTTTCCATAGAGGATATTTGGAAAAATACTTCTGATTTTGCATAATTGCACTGGTTTTCAAATTTTTACTTATGTTGAAGGAACATGAAATCAGGTTTGAAAAAGAGTTGGAAGTCCCTTATGCCACATCAAGCAGGTAGAAAATCAACTACTGGATTTTGCATGTTCTTGAACATGAAAGTTCGTTCAGATGGTCAAAAATCAGGGAATACACCTGTTTATCTGAACGTATATGATCTGACACCCTTGAATGGATACGTTCACTGGGCAGGCCTTGGTATATTTCACTCCGGGGTTGAGGGTATGGTTTCTTTTTTCTTTGTTTTCTAATCAGTTAAATTTTGTTTGTGTTGTGATGCCTGACATGAGAAAATTTTTATAAATTTATTATATTACTTTCTTTTTTTTAAGTACAAATAAAATGTCATAATTATTCTTGCTAAATTGTTCCATACTATTGAAGTTTATAACTTTATGAGCTAAAATGACTCACTATTGTGTGTGGGAAATCTAGCGAGTTGAATGAGGATCTATCTTGATTGTCTTAGCTTTTTTCAACATCATGTACAACAAAAAAAAAACCAACATCATCATCGATAAGCCTTTATCCCACCAAGTCGGGTAAGCTACATGAATTCTTTTATGTACTGTGTTCTATTGAGAGTCATATTTTCATTTAATTCTAATAGATTAAGATATTTTTTTATACAATATGCCCAAGTCTTTTTAAGTCTACTTATGCCTTTCTTAAATTAAGTTGAATCTAAAATATCTACTTTCCTAATCGGATCATCATATGGCCGCGTCTAATGTGATCATACCATCCAAGACGATTATCTCTAATCTTCTTTGCAACTGGAGTCACATAAACCTTTTCACGGATTGATTCATATGGCATTTTGTCTCTAAGTGTCAAGCCACTCATCCATCTAAACATTCTCACCTCAACAACACTTAGCTTAGTTTATGCTTCTCTTTTAAAGACTAACATTCTGTGCAATCAAACATTGCATGTCTCACCACCATCTCTTAATACTTCCTTTATGTATAAGTGGTACTTTTTTATCACACGATAATTTTGATGTATTCATCCACTCTAGCTAACCAACTTGAATTCTACTAGTAACATCCTCATCTATATCACCATCACTTTGAATAATAGACCCTAGATATCTAAAATGTTCACACATTTTAATGATTTGATCATCTATTTTTGCAACTCTATCACTAAAGCTACTACTACTAAAATTACATTTTATGTATTCAATTTTAGTTCTACTCAAATGAAGGCCTTTAAACTTCAATGTAAACCTCCATAATTCAACCTCCATAATTCAAGTTTATAATTCAAGTTTTCATGAACTCTTTCTATAGTCTTATCCACAAAAAGGATATCATCAGCGAAAATCATACACCAAGGTACATCCTTTTGTAAATGTCCAATAAGAGTATCCATAACTAAAGTAAAAAGATATGGGCTTAAAGCCGATCCCTGACCCGACCCCTGATGTAATCCAACTGAAATAAAAAATACTTGGTCAATCCTCCTTCTGTTCAAACACAATTTACAACTCTAGTATACATATCTTTAGTTGCTTGAATATAAGTCATGTTGACATTTTTCTTCTGTACAACTCTTCAAAAGACTTCTCTTGAAACGTTATCGCAACCTTTTTCAAAATCATGTACACAAATGGTTAGATAGAGGAGAAAAAATGCAAGATTTTTTTATGTGGAAGTTTTTGAAAGGTAGAAATTAGATGGCCTAACTCAATCCAACCCTTCACTATTTTTAGAAAATTGCTACAAGGGTGACCCACCTACAAGCAATTCAATGGATTTTAGTACATGCACCACCTTTAGGCAATTAGGAAGGCAAAGCTTATTGGTGCTAAGGTAGGCCCTCACACGTATTGGTTGTGAATATTATAGATCTATGCAATGACAAGGGCTACATCATCACGGAATGTGATCTTATAATCACAAGTGAAGATGGATGTGGTGTTAATCTTATTGAAGATAGTTGTGAACCAAACAAAATTGTAACACAACTATTGAAGGAGTTAGCTTTGACACATGTGAATTGGCATCACAGATATGGAGGAAGATATTTACGACGCACACAATGATGTGTTGTGATCTAATTGAGACGATTGCAGTGCATAAGAGATCACGATGTAGATGTTAAGGGAGGCAAGCACAACATTGGTCTTGAAAGAGATGATTGCGGTGTAGATGAGGTTGCACAATGGGTATGCAAGGAGATCTTTATAGTGTATGCAAATTTATGTTGTAGTTTTTGACGATTGTAGTGAAAGCAATATTATATCACTATTCTTGAAAGAGATATATGAGAAATAAGAGATGTTATGGCAATGAGCAAATTTATGTTGTAGGTCTTGATGATTGTAGTGAAAGCAAAATTATATCACTATTCTTGAAAGAGATATATGCAACATAAGAGACGTTATGACAATATTTTAAAAATTAATACGGTGAACTAAAACATTTGACCCCTACGCAGACTTAAGTATAAGCTTCAAAGCACAAGTGTAAAATTCATTTATTTAATTTTATATATTTTTAATATATTTAATTGCATTATTATAGAATTTATAAAATATTAAAAATATGAATTTTTCATAATAAGATACAAATTTTAATCATTTTCATTTATTTAAACTAATGCAACACATATCAAAATGTGATCATGAATTAGTTGTATATTTTCTATCAATTGTGATATAATATCATTACAATAAACAAGTATTATGGAGCAAACTTAAAATAAACTTAAGTTTTAAATAAATATTTATGATGACAAGTTAAAATTAAATCATCAAATTATCGATTTGGTTACCTTTAAAATAGATTAGATTAATAAAAATAAACAGTTATTTCTTACTCTAATTCACGATTACACTCGGATTACTCATGTCTATATATTAAAAGATGAATCTAAAGCTGTTGTCACATTTAAAATTTGCACTCTTTTTTTCTAACCCATTTCAAAAGCACCATTCAAGTCCTTCGGACGGGCTATAACTGTGAGTATTTTAACTCCATATTGGGAGAATTCTTGGTTAGTAAGAACATCCTCCATCATAGTTTCTGTATAAATACCCCTCAACAAAACGGGATAATTGAGTGGAAAAATAGACACCTTCTCGAAGTTGTTCATTCCATTATGTGTCAAACTAATGTTCTTAAGCATTTTTGGAATGACCCGTCGTTATCGCCGCCAACCTCTTCAATAAAGTTCTCACAAAAATCCACAACTTTTGGACCTCATTAGCCGTCTTGATGTCATGTTTTCTTACCAACTGGTTCTTGTTCTCGTTAGATCCAAAAATCTTTTGGGTGCACGACCTTTGTTCGAAACACAGCCCCAACACATAATAAACTTGATCCCTGCTCAATTAAATGTATCTTCAATGACTATTCTGCAACTCAAAGAAGTTATTTGTGTTTTGATTGTACCACCAATAAAACTTATGTTAGTGACAATGTCTCTTTTTTTGAAAATATCCCCTTCTTCCTTCACATCGCCTCAAGAGTGGGGGCGCTTGGTTTATTAGACATTTTTTATTTTCCGACTCCGATGGACATTTTTCATAGTCCTACAACCATTGTTTCTGGTGCACCTTCAACCCCGCTGAATTTGCCACTGGTCGAACAGACACCACCACCACCACCTCTCCATGTCTATACTTGTCGTACAAAACCCTCTGTTGAGACTCGTCCCAATGGCCCTACCGTCGAGGCCCTTGCCTTGCTGCAGGTCTTGGAGTTCGCTCAGGTCGACGTCCCCGAGACGATGCCCTCTCTCCACTTACATAGGTCACTTCTGATCCGAGTGAAGATTTGAATCTCCCTATTGAGTTACGCAAATGATCATGCACATTTTGCCCCTTTATCCCATGGCGAAATACCTCTCATTCCACAGCTTATGTCCGTTCTACAAAGCATTTGTCACATCCTTTATGGATCATTGTTTCTCATCCACTATTTAAGCGGCTTTGGCTGACCCTTCCTGGAAGTCTGTTGTCATGGATAAGATGAATGCCCTTCGGTGCAACCATACTTGGGACGTGATCGATCTCTCTCGGGAAAAAAAACGATGGGTTTTAGGTGGATTTTCAACTCCAAATTTAACTCTGATGGCTCATTTGAATGCAATAGGACGCGTTTGGTCGCCAATGGATATTCACAAACTATGGGGTTGACATGTGACTATGAAGAGACATTTGCTCCGATTGTTTTACTAAATACTGTTCGGATTCTGTTATCCCTAGTCGCAAATTGAATTGACCCTTACTCCAACTGGATGTTATGAATACTTTTCTTAATTACGATTTTGCCGAGGAGGTTTATATGTCTCTTCCACCAGTTTTTGACTCGACTTCTTCCCGTGGACAAGTGTGTCTATTGCGAAAGTCCTGTGGATTGAAACAATCCCCACGGGCCTGATTTGACAAGTTTATGCAAGTTCTAGTGAGTCATGGTTTCTCTCTAATCCAAATATTATCATATGCTATTTTTTGTCATTCGTTCGGTGATAGTATTGCTACTCATCATCTATGTCGATGACATTGTCCTCACAGTAACGATCCGCCGGCCTTTGAGTCTCTCAAGGCCATTCTTACCTTGTGTTTTGAGATGAAAGACTTGGTTTCCCTTCAATATTTATTAGGCATGAAAGTAGTTCAGTCCTCTCATGACATTTGCCTTTCCCAGAATAAATATATGATGAATTTATTTACCGAGACTAATCTACTTCTTTGCAAATCAGTAGTTATCCCTATGGAACCCAATGAAAAATTGTTTGAAGTACCCAATATTTTCCTGATGAACAAAACACACTACCAACACCTTGTGGATAAGCTCATTTACACTGCCCACACGTGACCAAACATTTGTCATGCCGTTAATGTCGTAATTCAGTTTCATCATCTCACTGTTGTCTATCAGATTCTCCACTACCTAAAAGGCACATCGGGCTTGGGTTTGTTGTTCACTCGTCACACCTCTCGCTATGTTGCACTTTATATAAATGCTGATTGGACCAATCTGTCCATGATTTATGATCTACCTTGGGCTATTACTCCTTCGTGTGGGGGAACGTTGTCACTTGGAAAAGTTAAAAAACAATATGTTGTTGCCATAATAGTGTTGAAGCCGAGTTTTACTCTGTCTTTCAGTGTGTGTGAAGCTCACTGGTTGCGCATAATGCTCCGCAAGTTGCATATGCGTGTCACCATTCCTTTGTAGCTATTTGTGACAGTAAAGCCACAATTAGTA